AAATCTAATTAATACACTATTCTATGGGAGTTATCCCCCTTCCCCCACCCACACCATATTTTATATAATAACCTCTTAATTATGTAAATATCTAATTAGATTTACAAATGTTAATTTTTGACAGTAAGCAAAATCTTATTATTATAAATTCAATCCATTATGTCCATATACCTACCATCAATGGAGAGGACTTATATAGGCTATAAGCCTGTTGTCCAATCCTTTTGACAGTGTAACATTCTTCTATGTCAATAAAATATGTTGAAATGAAAAATTCCCTTGATCTCATTCGGAGAATATTTTGCCATGATTGCTTTGGTATCCAGGTGAGCGATACAGGCCCTCTGGGCGTCTTGTATTGACAATACTATACTTCAAATGAGAATAGTTTGCCATCATTGTTTCAATATCCATATGAATGATATCAGGGGCCACTTGTATAAAACATCTTAAAATTGAGGAAAATCTCAAACAATGAAGAGTCTATGGGAAATCTTAGACTTGAGGAAATCTCAAGAGTTGAGATGTTTTATACATCAGTGGGGCCTGGCCCTCTGGGCCTCTTGTTTTAATTACTGTCGTCTGTCCATGGTCCGTCTGGCGTTCGGCGTCAATATTTAAATTTAAACAACTTCTTCTTTATAACTAAAAGGCCAAGGGTGATGATATTTTACCAGAAGCAAACTGGGAAGAATGACCTTCACCAATGTTCAAGGTCATAGGCGTCAAATATGTTAAAACCTTGAAAACAACTTCTTCTGAATAACCAAAAGGCCTAGGATGATGATATTTGGCCAGTAGCATGCTGGGATAAAGGGCTACCATTTTTGTTCAAATGAATGAGATTGACTCATATTTAATGTCACAGGGGTCAAATATGTTAAAATCTTTTAACAACTTCCTCTGAATAATCAAGAGGCCTAGGGTGATGATATTTGGCCAGTAACATCCTAGGATGAATGGCTACCATGTTCAAATGAATGACCTTCGTTTATTTTCAAGGTCACAGGGATCAAATATATTGAAAACAGTAAACGACTTCTTCTTTATTACCAAAAGGACCAGAAGTTATGATTTTTCGCCAGTAACATACTGGGATGAAGGGTTACCAAGTTTATTCAAATGAGTGACCTTCACCCATTTGCAAGGTCACAGGGGTCAAATAAGCTGAAATCTTTCAACAACTTCTGAATAATCTAAAGGTCCAGGGTAATGATATTTGGCATACTGGTATGAAAGGCTTTAAAGTCTGTTCAACATAAGTGTCCTTGTTTGACTTTCAAGGTCACATGTGTCATATGTTTAATTCTTTTGATAGATTCTTTTGAATCAAACACTAGTATTTTGCATGTAGCTGTATTTTAGTCCACTTTTAAGATTACAAGTGTAAGGTTAATACCAGGTGAGCGATTCAGGCCCATTGTTGTATAAATAGAGGGTTGCTTTTAGGGGGCAGAAAGAAGGACGGATTGAAGGACGGATGTTGCTGAGAGACATAACTAATATTTGCAAATAGTTGTTATATGTAATATTGTGCAAGTGAGCGATACAAGCCCTCTGGGCCTTTTGTTGAGGATCCTGGCTGTCCATTTTCTGGGGGTTTCCATGGTTTTACAAGGTTTAAAAGCTTTGATATGAGTCTCCAATGATTTTTTCCCGGGGATTTACCAAGCTCTTTCGAGGTTAAACCTTGTAACTCCAAGGTAACCTTGGAAAATAGACAACTGGTACTAGTTGACATTTTATGAATGGAGATATTAAACAGTTTATCACAATGTTTTTAGGTCACCTGAGACAAAGTCTCAAAGGACCTATTGCGATCGCCTTTTGTCCGGCAGCGTCCGTCGTCCGTCCGGAAACAATTTACATTTTCGACTTCTTCTCCAAAACCCCTGACCCAATTGCAATGAAATTTTGCAAGAACCTTCCATGGACAAAGGTCAACAAAAATAGTGGCCGGTTTAGTCCCAAGCCCCCAGCGACCTGAGGGGTGGGGCCAAAAAGGGTCAAATTANAGTACTGTATTAGGAAGCAGTTTGATAGTATGCACGTATGAGCCCTGACTGACCCCCAGGGGCTGATGGGTGGGGCAAAAAAGGGTTGAATTGACTGAAATTTCAAAAATCTTCTTCTCAAGACCCAGATATGGTAGAATCAAATACTCTTCATAGATTGAAGGGTCTTAAGGTGCTCTATCAAAATTGTGAATTTCATTACCCTGGAGTATCACGTTTCCCCCTGGGAGGGGGTAAACTTTACTATAGTTTATATAGGGAAATCACATTTTGTACCAACATTTGTTTAATTTCCATTGGAAGTGATTCAATTCGGGTTAGCATTATCAGTACTGTATTAGGAAGCAGTTTGATAGTATGCACATATGAGCCCTGACTGACCCCCAGGGGCTGATGGGTGGGGCAAAAAAGGGTTGAATTGACTGAAATTTCAAAAATCTTCTTCTCAAGACCCAGATATGGTAGAATCAAATACTCTTCATAGATTGAAGGGTCTTAAGGTGCTCTATCAAAATTGTGAATTTCATTACCCTGGAGTATCACGTTTCCCCCTGGGAGGGGGTAAACTTTACTATAGTTTATATAGGGAAATCACATTTTGTACCAACATTTGTTTAATTTCCATTGGAAGTTATTCAATTTAGGTTAGCATTATCAGTATTAGGTAGCAGTTTGATAGTATGCACATATGAGCCCTGACTGATCCCCCGGTGCTAAAATTTCTTCATTTTCCTTGTTTAGAATCAGAGGTGCTAGTTTCAAATTTTAGTCTTAAATCTGTATGCTAGATATTGAATAAAGTGGTTTTATTGTTTTTGTCACTTTGAATAATAGTTCTGTACAAGTTAAAAACAAAATCAACTCTCTGTATAAATATATCAGGTGACCGTTAAGGCCCATGGACCTCTTGTTAAGGTTTCTCATAGCTCACATATGGTGGCCTCTCAGTTATATCCACATGCGAGCGATGAGATCATTGTTCTCAAGACAAGCAATGTCTGATAATTTATAAATATATATATATATATATTTCGCCCCTCAGACAGAGATATCCCAAGTCATACCCCATAATAGATTTATCTATCTCATCCGATCTGTCTGGTACCTTTACGTGATATTTCAAGGAATCTTTACATTGTGATGTATTCATCTGTGCGTTAATGGCTTGAAATTGACAATCATCATTATAAATCTTCTGTTTTGTCGTTAGAGATATTGTGTTGATGTGGTTGGATATCTGTTGTTGTAAATAAAATATAATCCACACTGGGAAATACGCTCTCTGTAAGGACAGACTACATTTTTATGCCGAAGCATACAAATGTAGCTTTAGTAGTGCAGAAGCCACTTTTATTTGTGGCCCCAGACGAGATACTTCTAGTCTTTAGCAAAATTGAATAGTTTTTTCGAACTAAAAGGGGCAAACAAAATAATTAAATTACCTGTAACTGAGCAATATAGGTTTATCTCAGTCGAGGACTAAGATTCTGTAACATAATCCCAACTGAGGTGTAAGGCGGGGATATGTTACAGAATCTTAGCCCGAGACAATTTCACTCAGTTACAGGTTATTGTTTTTATAAATACATTTTTTACCATTGTTGACCACCTGGTTGAGTGGGACTTACCCCAACTACCTTACCTTACATTCACATTTTTTTTTCTATTAATTCACTTTAACTCACATCTTCAAGATGATGTTTTACCATATCTAGCCTCTGATTACTGGACAACCGAGGGGATGTGCAATAGCATCAGCAGACTTCATTAGTGATAACACTGTTTGTTTTGTATACATATTTTATGTTGTAGTATTGTTATGTGCTAAATAACAATTAAACATGTAGATTTCAGTACAATACAGCACTCTTGGTATGAATTTACACAAAAAAAACATCAACATTATAACCACGTCAAAATGATTATTTGCCTCAGAAATGTGTTCATTGCTGGAGGTATAAACTAAATGTGTTCATTGCTGGAGGTATAAACTAAATGTGTTCATTGCTGGAGGTATAAACTAAATGTGTTCATTGCTGGAGGTATAAACTAAATGTGTTCATTGCTGGAGGTATAAACTAAATGTGTTCATTGCTGGAGGTATAAACTAAATGTGTTCATTGCTGGAGGTATAAACTAAATGTGTTCATTGCTGGAGGTATAAACTAAATGTGTTCATTGCTGGAGGTATAAACTAAATGGTGCTACAAACACATTCTGTCTTGTTGTTTACTCCCAATATATTACTTATGAACAACAGTCAATATACTGCGTAACAATTTCTTATTTGCTAATTCAAATATATATTTGCATTAACTTGCAGACGCTGTTATCCGGACCCCCTCGTTTACAGGGTTGTCCTATATGTCAGTGACAGAGATAAAGAAGGCCAATGACGACCTTACTATTGAACTGAGCTTCCGTTCCCTGAATACTGATGGACTTCTCCTATTCAGTAGTCAATTTGTCAACGGCACTGGTGACTTTATCGCCATCACACTAATTGACCAGTATGTGGAGTTCAGGTACTGCATACATATCACAAAGCACTAATTTACAAACATGTCTGCATCTGTATTTACAGGTGTTTTATTTTAATACATTGGTGAGGGTTTTTTTACATTTTACACATTTGACTTGAATTTTTCAAATTCAGGGAACAGAATCATGGCAAGACATAACCATGTAAAACACTGAGAGTTGTATGTGTACTTCCTGCAATAAACAGCAAATTATGCTGTATAATTATATATTATGTGATACACGGGATCCAAAACAAGTGTGCATTGCATAGGATTATTTATAAAACAAACTAAAAACAAATTCATTACAATCAGACGGTATCATTTATCACAAGTTTGTTATATATAGCCACAACATGTCTAATTGTGCATTTTGTGAAATTTAAGCCGGGAAATAAAAGGAACGATTAGCTCTCTTGGCTTTGTGACATCATCATATAATCACTTACCTGGTCATGTAACGAATTACAAGTTTATGTAAAAAAATTATTACACTGTACACTGGCCTGATTAAGAGATAAATTACAAATGGATATGTTGTAAGATTGCTGTATAAAAGTTATGTTTTGTTATTTGTTTTCAACTCTATTTGCAATCATGAATATATTCTACAATTTTCACGAACCATGATGAATTAAACCAAAGATAGCAAGCAGACTTGGGTGAGATACCATTAAGTACCATTGGACTTGTTTGGAATGTTTCCAGATTTGACCTCGGCAGTGGCATTGCTATTATTAGAAGTGCAGCGAAAATCCCTTTGAACCAGGATTGTCATGTGATTGCCAGTCGTTTTGACCGAGAGGGAATGCTGATCATCAATTCTTCCCCAGGTGTTTCCCAGATGAGCCCTGCCTCTCTTGTATCCCTTGATCTGAAGGGACCCCTCTACATTGGCTACCTGCCTGGACATGCCAGACTGTGAGTTTTGATGTATAATCTTTAATGTGAGTTTTATTGTGAGTTTCTGCTCATTTACATAAGTAAGGAGATGCAGGTATGATTTTGTGTTGATGTCATCAGCTACTTTGGTTTCTTGGCCCTTTCACCACTGTAAAATTATAATGGACTTATCCACATCAATGCATGGTAGAGTTTAAGGTTACATAGGGTGAAAAGGTTAATGAGGTCCTCTCTAGGTATGAAAATGAATGTATATTTATTTGTAGTTGAATTTGATTCGGAAATCATATGGCCTCACTCTACCGAGAATTCAGAGAAAAAACATTTCAATTACCCTCTGCAATGAAGGTAAGAGGGATATACTAGAATCAGCTTTAAGGTAAGAGGGATATACTAGAATCAGCTTTAAGGTAAGGGGGATATACTAGAATCACCTTGGGGGTAAGAGGGATATACTAGAATCACCTTTAATGTAAGAGGGATATACTAGAATCACATTTAATGTAAGAGGGATATACTAGAATCACATTTAATGTTAGAGGGATATACTAGAATCAGCTTTAAGTTATGGGGGATATACTAGAATCAGCTTTAAGGTAAGAGGGATATACTAGATTCAGCTTTAATGTTAGAGGGATATACTAGAATCAGCTTTAAGGTAAGAGGGATATACTAGAATCAGCTTTAAGGTAAGAGGGATATACTAGAATCACCTTTAAGGTAAGAGGGATATACTAGAATCACCTTTAATGTAAGAGGGATATACTAGAATCACATTTAATGTAAGAGGGATATACTAGAATCACATTTAATGTTAGAGGGATATACTAGAATCAGCTTTAAGGTATGGGGGATATACTAGAATCACCTTTAGGGTAAGAGGGATATACTAGAATCACCTTTAATGTAAGAAGGATATACTAGAATCAGCTTTAAGGTAATAGGGGTATACTAGAATCACCTTTAATGTAAGAAGGATATACTAGAATCAGCTTTAATGTAAGAGGGATATACTAGCATCAGCTTTAAGGTAAGAGGGATATACTAGAATCAGCTTTAAGGTAAGAGGGATATACTAGAATCAGCTTTAAGGTAAGAGGGATATACTAGAATCACCTTTAATGTAAGAAGGATATACTTGAATCAGCTTTAAGGTAAGAGGGATATACTAGAATCAGCTTTCCCGTATTATCATCAACACGTTTTCATCTGAATTTCATGACTTTCTGCTACCTAAGTAACAATACCACCACACTCTGAAAAAAGTGTGCAGCTATGTTTACTTATTTTACATGTTTATTTTTATAGGACTTTGACCCTGTCCTAATGTTTGACAAATGTTGATCCTATTCACATGGGGTTCTTAGCCCAGGCGGAGGTATAAGTCTGACATTCTGATGACAGTTTACTCAAAATCGACATTCAAGTCTACATAGATTGTAATAGAGTAGTGAAATGTAGGAAAAAGAGCTCTGACACTGGGTTGAAAAAAAGTCTGTGCGGTGTCAATTGTTTTCTTTAAACAACTTCTTCTGTATAACCAATAGGCCTCTATGATATTTGGCCAATACCATGCTTGGATGAAGGACTTCTATGTTGTTTCAATTGAATGGCCTTGACCCACTTTCAAGGTCACTGTGGTCAAATATGTAGAAATATTTAAACACCTTCTCCTGAATAACCTAAAGGAGAATGGTGATAAACAACATTTATATAGTGCCCTTTATAATTTGTAAAATTATTCTAAAGCGCTTTACAGCATATGGATAATAGTATTAGTTATAATTGTTAAACAAAAAAAGGTTACAATCACCATTATACATTAAGCAAGAAGATAATTATCTCAATGTGCACATAAATGAATAAATATAGGGTGGTTTGTACATGATGTCTGTGCAAAGAGCCTAAAATGTAGACGTGAAGAAGTGAGTTTTATTGTCCTTCTTGCATTTGGCCAGGGTATTTGACTTTCTAATAGCAGATGCCTCCCAAAGCTCAGGTTTGTGTATGGGTACGTAACTGTTGTCTCCCCTACCCAATGGTATTCATTAAAACAAGTACAATTAACTAAACTGACAGATACATACATTTTAATGCATCTTGATTACAGCGCCCGGTCAGGCTTTGGATGGATTTTTCAAATACTTGTTTTTTAAATAAAATGGATTTATAAAACACTGTTTGGATGAGATTTTCCTGGCCTTTATAAAGACTGCTAGACAGGGAGAGTAGTATGTCTTCAAAACAAAGCCAATTGTGATAATCCTCGTCTTCCCGGTGTCATGTGAGATTGGTATCCCCCATGGGATAAGAACTCGGATACCAAAACTTGCCATAGGATAAGTATCCAGGTACAATAATGGCCATAGGATAAGTATCCAGATACAAATAATGGCCATAGGATAAGTATCAAGATACAATAAATGGTCATAGGATAAGTATCCAGATACAAATAATGGCCATAGGATAAGTATCCAGATACAATAATGGCCATAGGATAAGTATCCAGATACAATAATGGCCATAGGATAAGTATCCAGGTACAATAATGGTCATAGGATAAGTATCCAGGTACAAATAATGGCTGTAGGATAAGTATCCAGATTCAATAATGGCCGTAGGATAAGTATCCAGATTCAATAATGGCCATAGGATAAGTATCCAGATTCAATAATGGCCATAGGATAAGTATCCAGATACAATAATGGCCATAGGATAAGTATCCAAGTACAAATAATGGCCGTAGGATAAGTATCCAGGTACAAATAATGGCCATAGGATAAGTATCCAGATTTTATAATGGCCGTAGGATAAGTATCCAGGTACAATAATGGCTATAGGATAAGTATCCAGATACAAATAATGGCCATAGGATAAGTATCAAGATACAATAAATGGTCATAGGATAAGTATCCAGATACAAATAATGGCCGTAGGATAAGTATCCAGATACAATAATGGCCATAGGATAAGTATCCAGATACAATAATGGCCATAGGATAAGTATCCAGGTACAATAATGGCCATAGGATAAGTATCCAGGTACAATAATGGTCATAGGATAAGTATCCAGGTACAAATAATGGCTGTAGGATAAGTATCCAGATTCAATAATGGCCGTAGGATAAGTATCCAGATTCAATAATGGCCATAGGATAAGTATCCAGATTCAATAATGGCCATAGGATAAGTATCCAGATACAATAATGGCCATAGGATAAGTATCCAGATACAATAAATGGCCATAGGATAAGTATCCAGATTCAATAATGGCCGTAGGATAAGTATCCAGATACATTTAATGGCCGTAGGATAAGTATCCAGATACAATAATGGCCATAGGATAAGTATCCAGATACAATAATGGCCTTAGGATAAGTATCCAGACACAATAAATGGCCATAAGATAAGTATCCAGATACAATAATGGCCTTAGGATAAGTATCCAGATACAATAATGGCCATAGGATAAGTATCCAGATACAATAATGGCCATAGGATAAGTATCCAGATACAATAAATGGCCATAAGATAAGTATCCAGATACAATAATGGCCATAGGATAAGTATCCAGATACAATAATGGCCGTAAGATAAGTATCCAGATACAATAAATGGCCTTAGGATTGTCACTGGTTGTCACGTGAACAAAGTTCCCATTAAATAAGTCCCTTGCCTCCGACCCTCTATATTGTCATGTACGTTAATCGTGATATAATAGAAATAGCTGTTGAGTAATAATCTCTTAAGCAGTTTTTGAATATGTTTGCTGACATCATCTTTTGAGGGTCCCACCTAGATAGGAAGGTTGGCAAGTATAGTATAGGTGTGAATGTGAATGTTGTTGCTTATATTTTCAGTGGACTGGAGCGAGCTGGTGTGCATGTTGGATTTGTTGGCTGTGTCATGTCCCTCCAGGCAAGCACATCTCAGCTAGCTAAACTGTATGACCTGACCTATCCACAGGTACACCAGGACATCTACCAGGCCAGGGATATAGGTCATTATCACTATTTCATTTATTGTGAGGATATATGTGACACAGATATTTCATCCCTATAGTAACTTTTATGTGTATATATCTTACCTGTTTATAACTTACCTGTATATAACTAACTTGTATAATATCTTACCTGTACAGTAAAACCTTGTTATACTGCCACCTTCTGTCCTCTGTGATTTTGGCGATCTAACGAGTTTGGTGGTATATCGGGTTTACCATTTTGAACCCAAGTGTTCACACACCAACTGAACTTATACTTTTAAAATATAATAATAAACTGCAGAATACGATTTTGCATTTCAGTAATAATTACCATAACTTTAGTATGCATATACAATACCTACACCCATCTTTGTAGCCAAAAAACAAAAGATTCAAATATCCCTACCTCCCTACCGTGACGTAACCCATATCTCGACGACAGAGCCACGGAGTGATCTCTCTTCCTCTTCCTTTTATGGCGCCTGCTGCCTGCTAACGCCCGGAGCTTGCTCCATTTCAAAACTTTGTTTTGTCGGTTTGGTTCGAGTGTCAACTCAATTTATTGCGCAGTTTGTGTGCCTTATACCCATCTGCCCTTGTTAATACAATTAATTATTGTTGAAAAAAAAAATTGTGCCTTTTACGGCCGGTTATTTTACTCCACGTGTGCCGGTGGTTGGTCCCTGGGTCCAAGGGTAGGGTGCTGCAGAAGTTTCGGAAGCATCAGTGTTCCCTCCTCCTGATAGCGCCCCTGTGGCCGAGGCAGCCTTGGTTTCCGGAGCTTTTGTCGCTTCTGGTGGAAGAGCCCCTGGCTTTTCCTCTCAGAGCGAACCTTCTTCGCCAGCCTCGGTCCATCACGATGCACTCTCGTCCGGAGATCCTCCTTGAAGTTTGTTACCTACAAGGTGGTATTCCTTATTGCCCTGGCCTCAGGTTGAAGGAGGAGTGAGATTTATGCCTTGTCTTCTCACCCCTTTTGCCTCCGGTGGTCCAGGAATTACTCTGCGGTTACCCTTCTTACTGATCTTGCCTTTATGGCTAAGAATCAGGTTCCTGGCTTCTCGCCCGATCCGATTAAGATTCCGTCTTTGACTGCCTTCGTTGGGTCTGAGGAACGGGATAGGTTGCTCTGTCCCTGTCGGGCGCCTAGGTTTTACCTCGATAAAACCAGGGGGGGTCCTCTATCTCGTCTGGTTTTGCCCATTAAGAAGGGTCAACAAGATATCTCGTCTCAATCAGTGTCTAGATGGATTTGTCAGGTCATCAAGTACGGTTACGACCACTCGGAGGATCAGGTTCCGGCGTTGTATAAGGTGAGAGCTCATGAGATCAGGGCCCTTGCTGCGTCATGGGCCCCTCCTGAATGGGTCCCCTTTCAGGAGGTCATGTCCGTGGCTTTCTGGCGCGGACAGACTACCTTCACGGATTTTTATCTCCGGTCCTTGGCTTCTCATTCTGATGGATTGTATTCCCTTGGACCGGTGGTGGTTGCACAGTCTGTGGCTGTTCCTCCACAGTAATTCAGTGATTTTTAATTGTATGCTATCAGGCACCACGGTGGTACACCTGCTCGTTTCACGGGGAGGTTTTCCATTTTTTAATTACTTTCGGGGCTTTATTAGGGGGGTTCCTTGAACCTTTTCCCTACCTTGAGCATGTCTCGAGTTTGTTCCGTCAGCCTGGTCTGCCTGGATTCGAAGCCTCCACTACGGTAAGACGAATTCGCATACTAAAGTTATGGTAATTATTACTGAAATGAAATTGAGGTTTTTGAAGTAAAACCAATTTTCATGATGTAATACTTACCATAACTTTATGGAGTCCCACCCTGTATTCCTCCCCTTGCCTCCTCATCCCGGCTGCCTTTAGGCTCCATAAAAGGGGTTTGAGGAAGGGAGATCACTCCGTGGCTCTGTCGTCGAGATATGGGTTACGTCACGGTAGGGAGGTAGGGATATTTGAATCTTTTGTTTTTGGGCTACAAAGATGGGTGTAGGTATTGTATATGCATATTAAAGTTATGGTAAGTATTACATCATGAAAATTGGTTTTACTTCAAAAACCTCAATTTTTCAAAATTGTAATTCAATGTATCAAATTGTTGAGCATGCAAAACATAATCACGTACAATATGTATAGAAGTGTCACACACAAATAAAGTTGATTTAATGCCATGATATCCTGAAAATGTCAATGCAGAATTTTACATCACAGTTCAAGAATTGACCAACATAACCTGTCAATGTTACAGACTAGATCTGAACCTGAACCCCCCCCCCAGATCTGAACCTGAAAAAATCACTGATGGTCGTTTGTCTAGCTACATTCACTTAGACATGTACATACATTACAGGGTATATTTATAGCTACATTCACTTAGACTTGTACATACATTACAGAGTAGAGGTATAGCTACATTCACTTATACATATACATACATTACATGGTATATTTATAGCTACATTCACCTAGACATATACATACATTACAGGGTATATTTATAGCTACATTCACTTAGACATGTACAAACATTACAGGGTATATTTAAAGCTACATTCACATAGACTTGTACAAACATTACAGGGTATATGTATAGCTACATTCACCTAGACATATACATACATTACAGGGTTTATTTATAGCTACATTCACTTAGACTTGTACATACATTACAGGGTATATTTATAGGTACATTCACTATGACTTGTACATACATTACAGGGTATATTTATAGCTACATTCACTATAACTTGTACATACATTATAGGGTATATGTATAGCTACATTCACTTAAAAAGGTGCATACATTACATGGTATATTTATAGCTACATTCACTTAGACATATACATACATTACATGGTATATTTATAGCTACATTCACTTAGACTTGTACATACATTACAGGGTTTATTTATAGCTACATTCACTTAGACATGTGCAAACATTACAGGGTATATTTATAGCTACATTCACTTAGAAATGTGCATACATTACAGGGTTTATTTATAGCTACATTCACTAAGACATGTGCATACATTACAGGGTTTATTGATAGCTACATTCACTTAGACATGAACATACATTACAGGGTATATTTATAGCTACGTTCACTTAGACATGTGTATACATTACAGGGTATATTTATAGCTACATTCACTTAGACATATACATACATTACAGGGTATATTTATAGCTACATTCACTTAGACTTGTACGTATATTACAGGGTATATTTATAGCTACATTCACTTAGACTTGTACATACATTACAGGGTATATTTACAGCAACATTCACTTAGACTTGTACATACATTACAGGGTATATTTATAGCTACATTCACTTAGACATGTGCATACATTACAGGGTATATTTATAGCTACATTCACTTAGACATATACATACATTACATGGTATATTTATAGCTACATTCACATAGACTTGTACATACATTACAGGGTATATGTATAGCTACATTTTATAGCTGACCTGCTGGCCTGTATGTGTACTGTCTGCTGTGCTACACCTGTATATCACTGACCTGCTTGCCTGTATGTGTTCTGTCTGCTGTGCTCCACCTGTATATCACTGACCTGCTGACCTGTATGTGTTCTGTCTGCTGTGCTACCCCTGTATTTCACTTACCTGCTGGCCTGTATGTGTTCTGTCTGCTATGCTGCACCTGTATATCACTGACCTGCTGACCTGTATGTGTTCTGTCTGCTGTGCTACTCTACACCTGTATATCACTGGCCTGCTGGCCTGTATGTGTTCTGTCTATTGTGCTACACCTGTATATCACTGATCTGCTGGCCTGTATGTGTTCTGTCTCCTGTGCTACACCTGTATATCACTATATCACTGACCTGCTGGTCTGTATTTGTACTGTCTGCTGTGCTACACCTGTATATCGCTGACCTGCTGGCCTGTATGTGTTGTGTCTGCTGTGCTACACCTGTATATCGCTGACCTGCTGGCCTGTATGTGTCCTGTCTGCTGTGCTACACCTGTAGATCACTGACCTGCTGGCCTGTATGGGTTCTGTCTGCTGTGTTACACCTGTATATCACTGACCTACTTGCATGTATGTGTACTGTCTGCTGTGCCACACCTGGATATCACTGACCTGCTGGGCTGTATGTGTTCTGTCTGCTGTGCTGCTCCTGTATATCACTGACCTGCTGGTCTGTATTTGTACTGTCTGCTGTGCTACACCTATATATCACTGAACTGCTGGCCTGTATGTGTTCTGTCTGCTTTGTTACACCTGTATATCACTGACCTACTTGCATGTATGTGTACTGTCTGCTGTGCTGCACCTGTATATCACTGACCTGATGGCCTGTATGTGTTCTGTCTGCTATGCTGCACCTGTATATCACTGACCTGCTTGCCTGTATGTGTTCTGTCTGCTGCGCTACACCTATATATTACTGACCTGCTGGCCTGAATGTGTTCTGTCTGCTATGCTACTCTACAACTGTATATTACTGACCTGCTGGCCTGAATGTGTTCTGTCTGCTATGCTACTATACACCTGTATATCACTGACCTGCTGACCTGTATGTGTTCTGTCTGCTGTGCTACACCTGTACATACATTACAGGGTTTATTTATAGCTACATTCACGTAGACTTGTACATACATTACAGGGCATATGTATAGCTACATTTTATAGCTGGCCTGCTGGCCTGTATGTGTTCTGTCTGCTGTGCTACACCTATATATTACTGACCTGCTGGCCTGTATGTGTTCTGTCTGCTATGCTACTCTACACCTGTATATCACTGACCTGCTGGCCTGTATGTGTACTGTCTGCTGTGCTACACCTGTATATCACTGACCTCTGCTGTGTTACACCTGTATATCACTGACCTGCTTGCCTGTATGTCTACTGTCTGCTGTGCTACACCTGTATATCACTGGCCTGCTGGCCTGTATGTGTACTGTCTGCTGTGCTACTCCTGTATATCACTGACCTGCTGGCCTGTATGTGTTCTGTCTGCTGTGTTACACCTGTATATCACTGACCTGCTTGCCTGTATGTGTACTGTCTGCTGTGCTACACCTGTATATCACTGACCTGCTGGCCTGTATGTGTACTGTCTGCTGTGCTACACCTGTATATCACTGACCTGCTGGCCTGTATGTGTACTGTCTGCTGTGCTACACCTGTATATCACTGACCTGCTGGCCTGTATGTGTACTGTCTGCTGTGCTACACCTGTATATCACTGACCTGCTGGCCTGTATGTGTACTGTCTGCTGTGCTACACCTGTATATCACTGACCTGCTGGCCTGTATGTGTACTGTCTGCTGTGCTACACCTGTATATCACTGACCTGCTGGCCTGTATGTGTACTGTCTGCTGTGCTACACCTGTATATCACTGACCTGCTGGCCTGTATGTGTACTGTCTGCTGTGCTACACCTGTATATCACTGACCTGCTGGCCTGTATGTGTACTGTCTGCTGTGCTACACCTGTATATCACTGACCTGCTGGCCTGTATGTGTACTGTCTGCTGTGCTACACCTGTATATCACTGACCTGCTGGCCTGTATGTGTACTGTCTGCTGTGCTACACCTGTATATCACTGACCTGCTGGCCTGTATGTGTACTGTCTGCTGTGCTACACCTGTATATCACTGACCTGCTGGCCTGTATGTGTACTGTCTGCTGTGCTACACCTGTATATCACTGACCTGCTGGCCTGTATGTGTACTGTCTGCTGTGCTACACCTGTATATCACTGACCTGCTGGCCTGTATGTGTACTGTCTGCTGTGCTACACCTGTATATCACTGACCTGCTGGCCTGTATGTGTACTGTCTGCTGTGCTACACCTGTATATCACTGACCTGCTGGCCTGTATGTGTACTGTCTGCTGTGCTACACCTGTATATCACTGACCTGCTGGCCTGTATGTGTACTGTCTGCTGTGCTACACCTGTATATCACTGACCTGCTGGCCTGTATGTGTACTGTCTGCTGTGCTACACCTGTATATCACTGACCTGCTGGCCTGTATGTGTACTGTCTGCTGTGCTACACCTGTATATCACTGACCTGCTGGCCTGTATGTGTACTGTCTGCTGTGCTACACCTGTATATCACTGACCTGCTGGCCTGTATGTGTACTGTCTGCTGTGCTACACCTGTATATCACTGACCTGCTGGCCTGTATGTGTACTGTCTGCTGTGCTACACCTGTATATCACTGACCTGCTGGCCTGTATGTGTACTGTCTGCTGTGCTACACCTGTATATCACTGACCTGCTGGCCTGTATGTGTACTGTCTGCTGTGCTACACCTGTATATCACTGACCTGCTGGCCTGTATGTGTACTGTCTGCTGTGCTACACCTGTATATCACTGACCTGCTGGCCTGTATGTGTACTGTCTGCTGTGCTACACCTGTATATCACTGACCTGCTGGCCTGTATGTGTACTGTCTGCTGTGCTACACCTGTATATCACTGACCTGCTGGCCTGTATGTGTACTGTCTGCTGTGCTACACCTGTATATCACTGACCTGCTGGCCTGTATGTGTACTGTCTGCTGTGCTACACCTGTATATCACTGACCTGCTGGCCTGTATGTGTACTGTCTGCTGTGCTACACCTGTATATCACTGACCTGCTGGCCTGTATGTGTACTGTCTGCTGTGCTACACCTGTATATCACTGACCTGCTGGCCTGTATGTGTACTGTCTGCTGTGCTACACCTGTATATCACTGACCTGCTGGCCTGTATGTGTTCTGTCTGCTATGCTACGCTACAGCTGTGTATCACTGACCTGGTGGCCTGTATGTGTTCTGTCTGCTGTGCTACACCTATATATCACTGACCTGGTGTTCTGTCTGCTGTGCTACACCTGTATATCACTGACCTGCATATAACACATTCTTTTTTTGTTTATCAGGTGAATGTGGCCAGAATCCCTGCTCCAGCCTTCCTTGTTTATATGGTGGGACATGTCTCATGTCTGACTCTGAAATTTTTACCTGCCTATGTGAGGATGGCTACACAGGTTTGCTGTTTATGTAATTTTAATCCTTAAACACTCCTGAAAACACTTATCCTGTTTGATAACTTCATGCTCCCCTTCTGTTAAAGTAATAATAATGTGTGTGTGCTTTATTGGAGTTTTAATTTCAGTAGTTAATTCAAACCATTAGAAATACAGTAACTCTGCTATGAATGCTACTTCCAATATTGTGTTGTATGGTTCCCACGAGTCAGGCATTTAAGCTACAATATGTATAACGGTATAATAGTAAAGTATATCTAGTAAAACTGAACTGGATTGAAAATGGACATTTTAGTTTAACAACATAGTCATGAATCACTGTCCTAGGAAAAGTAATACAGCCCAAATTAAATGAATAAAACAGAGACAACAATGGTGTGACAGCCGGATACTGTTCCCTGTTGTGTTATTGTTTATGTTAGCATGATAAAATATGTATTGCCCTTGTTGTAGGGAAACATAATTCTTTGTTTCCCTTGATTATTCTTGATGCACTCCAGCTTTACTCTTGTGAATCCTGATTAATCTTGGCAGAAAATTAATCATGTTTCCCTACAATAGGGGTATTAACATGTATAATATAATCAGAGTAGCATACAAACTGAATTTGATATTGACTTTCACTACTTATGAATATTATAGGTAAAGGGACAAAAGCAACGCCCCAAACGCCATAACTTAAAATCATAACTAATCACATAATTTGGCCAAAAATACATTCTGGGCCAAAATAACACCGCTATGTCATACACATTGAAAACAGTAAATATTTAAAATTCTTCTTCTTCTGTACAAATGAGGGGCTTTTACCAAATTTTGTCTAGAATATCCTTGTGCAAGGGGAATTTAATTTTATATAAATGGAGGGCGTGGCTCTCCTGGAGATGGAGGGTGTGGCTCCCCTGGAGACGGAGGGTGGGCAAATTTAGGGAGAACAGGGGAAAATGTTAAAAACTCTACTCCTTTATTTCAAATGGAGGGCTTCGAACCACATTTAGTGTAGAGCATCCTTGGGCAAGGAGAGAACTCATTTTTGTATAAATAGAGAATGTGGACCCCCTGGGGACAGAGGGGCGCCGGGCCCATTAGGGAGAATATAGGAAGAACAATGTTTAAAATCCTGTTCCTTCTGTTTGAATAGAGGGATTTGAACCAAATTTGGTATAGAGCATCGTTAGGCAAAACGAACTCAATCTTCTATAAATGGAGGGTGTGGCTAACCCTTGGGGGCTGACGATCAGGGCCAAAAAGATGTTATATTTTGCCATGTTACCAACCAATATTTGGATTAGGGCATTCTTTGTTGGTTGAAAACTGTACCAGCTGAAGGGCTGACCCCTGGGTCTGAGGAGTGGGGCCAAAACAAATGTTTAATTTGGACATTATGGAGATCCCCACCTTGTAACCAATTGCTGAGCATCAAGAGATAAACACAATTATGATATTACAATTGACGCTGGGGTCTGGCCTCACCCCTAGGGACTTTATTCCTGAGCTGTAACTTTTAACCAGTTGAGGTCCCAACCTCATAACAATATATACCATTGATTGGCATCAAGAGATAAACTCAATCATGATATTAGTATTGACTTGGGTCTGGCCCCACCCCTAGGGACTTAATTCCTGGGCCATAACACTGAAACTCTTTAGATCCCTACCCGATAACCATATATATATCTGATAAACATAAAGATATAAACACAGTCCTATTTAATAATTGACCTTGGGGTCTGGTTCCACATCTAGGGACTTAATTTCTGGCCCATAGCTTTGAAATAGTTGAGATCCTAGCCGAGCCCATAGCCATATGTGTATATACCACTGCAGTGCATACAGCTCCAGGTGAGTGATACAGGCACTCTGGGCTTCTTGTTAACTTAGGTGCTACCTTTGGAAATAGAAGACAATCTGAACTAAATACCAGAAAATAATCTGTCTACTCACTTGTGAACTGTGGCCGACACGTATTGTGTATTCATGATCAGGGCCGACAAAGTTCAGCACGATTCAAGCCATTGCTTTTGTTTCAGTTGTCACGGCAATTATTGCAAGCTTTAAATGATGCTTTTATTATTGTAAAATTAATGGATTGTGGGTTCAAACTAGACAGAGTCCAGTTTACCCAGATTCCATAAATGTACATGTATCTGTTAAGTAAATAGAATGTTCTACTTAAGATATGCTGACAACTTTCAATTAGTGTGTTCTGTAACTGTCCATTATAGTAGGCCAGTAGCTGGTTTAATAATGGACAGCTACAGGTAATTATCTTAACGTACTTCATTTTTTAAAATTGTTGCTAGGCAACAACTGTGAGATCATCATGAACCCATGTGTGAGTGCAGTCTGTCAGCATGGTGCCACTTGTCGGCAGACACTTGGAGGCCCTGGTTACGAATGTGTTTGTCCCGACAACCGTGAAGGAGAATTCTGTGAATATGGTAAGATGTGTCACGTACAGTTGTGTTATCGCACAAATGCCAAAATTATGTGTGCACACCATGACTGCACATTTTCTGCACCTGCTGTGTAAAACTGGGTAATTTAACAACTGATTGCGAAAAAATAAGCACATATATGCGATATGGTAAGATTGGTTGATAAATGTTACAGAAAGGAAAAATTCTGAAAGGCTTGTGTGAAATAAGGTACAGCGTTAACATTTAAGATATCTGATCGGTATCTCTTGTTTTAATTGTTTGTTTGAGTTGTTTCATATCCACTTCACTAACGAGCAGACGACTTTTTGTAATTCATCCAATACATATTACAATGACTGTAAAACTGTCAATAATGGCGTATGTCTTTCACAATGTTCCTACAGCTAATACATACCAACAGTCGCTCCCGCTCCAAGCTTTCAGGCTCAGATTATTGACTTCACCAGGGATTGATTTTACTTGATACTTAAGTAACATCTATACTCAATAAACAGATAGTTCACACCAAAACAGGGATGGCATTGATCTCCAATAACAGTTGTATGGTGGCATATTTCTGCCATCGACTTTAGACTTGCGAATTACTTATGTCGACATAAGTTTTAGCTCACCTGCCCAAGGGCAAGTGAGCTTATGCCGTGGTGTGGTCCGTCATCCGTCCGACGTCAACTTTTTACTTTAAACAACTTCTTCCCAGTAACCAAAAGGCCTGGGATAATGATATTTGGCTAGTAGTATGCTTGGGTGAAGGGCTAACAAGTTTGTTCAAATGAATGACCTTTGCCCATTTACAAGCCACATGGGTCTAATATGTTTAAAACATTCAAACAACATCTTCTGAATGACCAAGAGACAAAGTGTGATGATATTTGGCCAGTAACATACTAGGATGAAGGGCTACAAACTTTGTTCAAAGGAAGGACCTTCGCCAATATATTGAGGTCACAGGGGTCAATTATGTTTAAAAACTTTAAACAACTTCTTCTTAAAAACCAAAAGGCCTAGGATGATGATATTTTGCCAGTAGTATGCTGGGATAAAAAGGCATCAAGTTTGTTTTAATGAATGGCCTTCGCCCATTTTCAGGGTCCCATGAGTCAAATATATTGAAATCTTTTAACAACTTCTCCTGAATAACCAAATTACATAGGATGATGATATTTGGCAAGTAATTTGCTTGGATCGAGGGCTACTAAGTTTGCTCAAATAAATGACCTTGACCTTTATTCAATGTTACAGGGGTCAAATATGTTTAAATCATTTAGATTTGTCTGTCTGTCTGTCTGTCTGTCTGTCTGTCTTCGTTTCCATGCAATAACTACAACAAATGTTAACTGATTTTCTTCAAACTTGGTCACAGGGTTAAATGCCTTAAGGGCTCGACCAAGTTCGATGACCACTTTCAGTGGACTTTATTTGGCGGAGTTATAGCCCCTTGAATAATGAAAAACGTCATTATCTGCCGTTTCTGTTTATTAAATCTCGCAAATGTTATCCGATTGTTCTCAAACTTAGTAACAGGGTTCAATACATTAAGGGCTCAGCCAAGTCTGACAACCACATCAATCAGACTCCATTTGGCAGAGTAATGGCCCCTTGATTTACAAAAAAGCATCATTATTTGCAGTTTCCGCTTTATAACTCTAGCAAATATTAACCAAATTCCTTCAAACTTGATAACAATGTTTTTGTTCCTCTGTCTTTCCACCTGGTACAGTGACACTTAACATCAGGTAGATATGAATGAAGAAAGGATTTTATTTATTTCACTATTTGGCCATTGAAATTTTTATTATTTACTCCCTTAATTTGGTTCAAATAAAACCTTTATATAAAACGTTCAATATTTGTGTTTCAATTACGTTTTATGTTGATTCAAGATGATGCAGACAGTCATTTTATAGTGGTCATTATTGACAGTCTATGTGTATAACACTGGCAGGTACACCTGTAATACTCAATTTGTGGTACATAATAGTAGTTACTGTCAAAATGTCCAAGTAGATATTCATGTTATTATGAAAAGAAACATGGATATTTTATCATTTTTGTTGCAGAAAAATTACACAAGATATTTGTGCCAGAATTTAATGGTAGTTCCTACATCCAGTTTCCTCTGGGCGATGTAAGCAGTACTGCACTGTCACTTAAAGTCTGGTTCATGACACGCAGACCTAACGGTGAGTTCAGTTTCTCCATTTCAGTTTCAGGAATACTTTATGGTCAAGGTTAACCCTTTCATCTCTGTAGACCAGAATGAGCACATCCAGATTTGTGCATGGTAGAGTCTACTAAAGTTACATAGGGATGCATGGGTTAAACGATTACACATGTAGCAGAACTGGACTGGTGTGATTGTCAGCGACCAGGTAGCCTAATTGGAATAGCATCAATCTAGAGTTCGGAGGTCCCCAGTTCGAATCCAAGTCTGGCTGATGTATTTTTCTTTCCTCTGTTTCACTCAGAGGTTTTGCTTGATAATACATTAAAACTTCAGCAGTATTATAGTCACTAGATATATTTGATAATTTCACTACTATAAGCAATTATAAGGTTCAGAAGCTATATACAATTATGAACTTTATGTGAGGTCTGTCTTTACAAACCTGGCCCGAGCATTGAGTCTGAAGGCCCTAGTTAATATTACTCTGACAAGGACTGTAAGTGAAATATACAAAAAGATAAAAACAGCAGTTGATTTATGATACATTATTTTAAATGTAACCCACTCAACCCTTTTGTAACATTTGAACCAACAAATGAAAAGATAGCAAAGAAGTCCTCATTAAATGCTGTTCTTCAATTGTAGTCAGACAGTTTAATTTCAACATTTTGTTGGCTGATTTATATAACCGTCAACTTTTCTTTCAAACCACTACTGCCTCGGAAATGTCATTTATGAATTTGGTCTGTGGAACTGTTTGACGAAGAGGACTCAATTTGATATAATCAGATGATGAGCCAGGCTCCCCCTACCCCAGGTCCACCCCCATCAAGAACGCAGAGGGGTCCAATAAAAGTGGTCTGGTGGCAAAATAAATAATGTGTTTGCCTTAAACAAGGCGGCCAAGGTTTGATTCCCTGATTGGACTTGAAAGGGTATGGGGTCACCTTCCTGACCACGATGGTTTTCTCCAGGTACTCTGGTGGCCTAGCTCCCACATTAAGACTCTCTGCGCACTAACATCTGGGCAACCTAGAATAATAAATATAAGTTGAAAAAAAGGTTTCACAATTGCTTTAATATTTGTTTACATCATAGGCCAAAACAATTTATATCTTTCAAATCCTTCTCCTTCTCTATTCAGTAAAATAATAATTAAAATCTGGTTTGAACCCTGTAGCAAACTTCAAGCATTAGATTTTATTGATTTACCTTTCCAAGTAGAAATACTATATACAGAAGCTGTGTATGTATGTTATGTAGATTTGTTTATGTTAATTTTTCAGAGTAGAAGTACTGTTATTTGTATCAGTGATAAAGACATGCTTCGGAGGCATGGTAGTCTAGTGGTAGGACGCCGGGCTCGAGACCGAAGGGTTGCGGGTTCGAGTCAAGGCACTGCACTGTGTTGTAGCTTTGGGCAAGATACTTTACTCCGCTTGTTCAGGTCTACTCAGCTGTAAATGAGTACGTGGTTGGGCAGCCCTAGAATTGTTGAATGCTATCTGTAAGTGCTGAAATGGCAGCTCCGACTGTATGCTCCCCAGGGCTGATTGCAAAGGCCCTATAACCACGGATAATAATTTGTGAACTGCTTTCAGATGACTTACGAACTAGGTTGTGATAAAGCCGAAGCGATATATAAGAACCTCAAATTATTATTATTATTATTTTTACAGGTGTATTAATGTATGCCAGTCAGTTTTCTCATGGACTTGGAGACTTTGTGTCAGTTAACATCGTAGAGAGACACATCGAGTTCCGCTTCAACATGGGCAGTGGCACAGTCGTCATCAGGTAAAACCAGATTGCTACTAACCCTTTCACCACTGTAAACCATAATGGACTCATCCATATAAATGTATGGTAGAACCAAGGGAAGAAACAGCCAAGAGCCTGTGTTACATTTCCTTTTGAAGAAAAATGTGGTTTTAAAACGAGGTTTAATAATTGCAACCTGTGAAGTGATGTACTAAAACACTGACACATGTCTTCAATAACAATCTAATATATAACACTGACACATGACGACCATAACAATCTAATATATAACACTGACACATGTCTTCCATAACAATCTAATATATAACACTGACACATAACACCCAAACACTGACACATGTCTTCAATAACAATCTAATATATAACACTGACACATGGCTTCCATAACAATCTAATATATAACACTGACACATAAAAACCATTATAATATAATATATAACACTGACACATGACAACCATTACAATCTAATATATAACACTGACACATAACAACCATTATAATATAATATATAACACTGACACATGACAACCATAACATCTAATATATAACACTGACACATGTCTTCCATAACAATCTAATATATAACACTCCCACATGTCTTCCAAAAACAATCTAATATATAACACTGACACATGACAACCATTACAATATAATATATAACACTGACACATGTCTTCCATAACAATCTAATATATAACACTCCCACATGTCTTCCAAAAACAATCTAATATATAACACTGACACATGACGTCCATAACATCTAATATATAACACTGACACATGACAACCATTACAATCTAATATATAACACTGACCCATAACAACCATTATAATATAATATATAACACTGAAACATGACAACCATAACATCTAATATATAACACTGGCACATGTCTTCCATTACAATCTAATATATAACACTGACACATAACACCCATTACAATATAATATATAACACTGACACATGAAAACCATAACATCTAATATATAACACTAACACATGACAACCATAACATCTAATATATAACACTGACACATGTCGTCCATAACAACCTAATATATAACACTGACACATGACAACCATAACATCTAATATATAACACTGACACATAACACCCATTACAATATAATATATAACACTAACACATGAAAACCATAACATCTAATATATAACACTAACACATGACAACCATAACATCTAATATATAACACTGGCACATGTCTTCCATTACAATCTAATATATAACACTGACACATAACACCCATTACAATATAATATATAACACTAACACATGAAAACCATAACATCTAATATATAACACTACCACATGACAACCATAACATCTAATATATAACACTGATACATGACAACCATTACAATCTAATATATAACACTGACACATAACACCCATTACAATATAATATATAACACTAACACATGAAAACCATAACATCTAATATATAACACTACCACATGACAACCATAACATCTAATATATAACACTGGCACATGTCTTCCATAACAATCTAATATATAACACTGGCACATGTCTTCCATTACAATCTAATATATAACACTGACACCTAACACCCATTACAATATAATATATAACACTGACACATGACAACCATAACATCTAATATATAACACTGACACATGTCGTCCATAACAATCTAATATATAACACTGACACATGACAACCATAACATCTAATATATAACACTGACACATGACAACCATTACAATCTAATATATAACACTGACACATGACGACCATAACATCTAATATATAACACTGACACATGTCGTCCATAACAATCTTATAAATAACACTGACACATGACGACCATTAGAATCTAATATATAACACTGACACGTGACAACCATTAGAATCTAATAAATAACACTGACACATGTCGTCCATAACAATCTAATATATAACACTGACACATGACGACCATAACATCTAATATATAACACTGACACATGTCGTCGATAACAATTTTATAAATAACACTGACACTTGACGACCATTAGAATCTAATATATAACACTGACACGTGACAACCATTAGAATCTAATAAATAACACTGACACGTGACGACCGCTCTAATTATTCATGATAGTACTAGTTACCCAGGAAAACTCTTCATAAATATAATTAAAAGTTTTTCCACACCAAATGTCAGTAATTGTAATAACTTGCAGGAGTGACGAGAAGATAGAACTTAATAAATGGCATGAAGTTTATGTCCAGAAAGTGGATAGAGCTGGGACTCTAGTGATTGACAGCAGTGAAGAGAGGCTAACTATGGCAGAATCTCAGGTAAACCTCGCACACTACAGAGAGGCTAACTATGGCAGAATCTCAGGTAAACCTCGCACACTACAGAGAGGCTAACTATGGCAGAATCTCAGGTAAACTTCGCAGACTACAGAGAGGCTAACTATGGCAGAATCTCAGGTAAACCTCGCACACTACAGAGAGGCTAACTATGGCAGAATCTCAGGTAAACCTCGCACACTACAGGTGACTTTTCAGGAGTCTCAGGTAAAACAAACTAAACAGGAATACTAACAAGAATGATGGTGGAATCTCAGGTGACACTGTCTATAGGAGAGTCTCAGGTAACACTGTCTATTGAGGAGTCTCATGTAACACTGACTATAGGGGGGTCTCAGGTAACACTTATTATAGGGGAGAGGTGTGGTCCCATGTAACACTGTCTATAGAAGAGTCTCAGGTAACACTGTCTATTGAGGAATCTCATGTAACAATGACTATAGGGGGGTCTCAGGTAACACTTATTATAGGGGGGAGGTGTGGTCCCATGTAACACTGTATATAGGAGAATCTCATGGAACACTGACTATAGGGGGGTCTCAGGTAACACTTCTTATAGGGGAGAGGTGTGGTCCCATGTAACACTGTATATAGGAGAGTCTCATGTAACACTGACTATAGGGGGGTCTCAGGTAACACTTATTGTAGGGGGAGGTGTGGTCCCATGTAACACTGTATATAGGAGAGTCTCATGTAACACTGACTATAGGGGGGTATCAGGTAACACTTATTGTAGGGGGAGGTGTGGTCCCACGTAACACTGTATATAGGAGAGTCTCATGTAACACTGACTATAGGGGGGTCTCAGGTAACACTGACTATAGGGGGGAGGTGTGGTCCCATGTAACACTGACTATAGAAGAGTCTCATGTAACACTGACTATTGAGGAATCTCATGTAACACTGACTATAGGGGGAGGGGGGTCTCATGTAACACTGTCTATAGGAGAGTCTCGGGTAACACTGTCTATNACACTGATTAAAGGGGGTGGGGGTCTCAGTTATAGGAAAGTCTCATGTTACACTGATTAAAGGGGGTGGGGGTCTCAGTTATAGGAAAGTCTCATGTTACACTGATTAAAGGGGGTGGGGGTCTCAGTTATAGGAAAGTCTCATGTTACACTGATTAAAGGGGGTGGGGTCTCAGTTATAGGAAAGTATCATGTTACACTGATTAAAGGGGGTGGGGGGTCTCAGTTATAGGAAAGTCTCATGTAACACTGACTATAGGGTGGGTCTCAGGTAACACTGATTATAAACGGGGGGGGGGGGGGGGCCTAAGGAAACATTGATTTTAGGGGGGTCATTTTCAGTAAATTCTTGTCGGGACCGTAAATTTCATACCGTTTAAGATATCTTAATCAAACTTGAAGTATACCTGCATCACCCACAGAAGGTGTGCAGTGCACTGGAACTAGGTCTCGTGCCCCACTATATACAGAGTTATGGCCCTTTGTTTAAATTTGATACCGAAGTTTGTCCAGAGCATAAGTTCTATGTTATTTCAACTACGTTGACCATACTTACCAAATTAATGTATCTTGGGAAGGCAGAATTTCTCGCATTAAAATAAGATTTAATGCCCCACTATATACAGAGTTATGGCCCTTTGTTTATTTTTTAATACCAAAGTTTGTCCACAGCTTAACTTCTAAACCATTAAAGATATCTTAATCAAACTTGAAGTATACCTGCATCACTCACAGAAGGTGTGCAGTGCACTAGAATTAGGTCTCCTGCGTCACTATATACAGAGTTATGGCCCTTTGTTTAAATTTAATACCGAAGTTTGTCCACAGCATAACTTCCATATTATTAGGGCCCCGCATCAAAGATGTGGGTGCCCTATACTAATTCATCCGTCCGTACGTCACAATCAAACAAGGTACCAACTGACCAAAGGTCAAGGTCAATGGGTCAAAGGTCAAGGTCGAATTTTGTATCTTTACCCTGATGAACATTTTGTTATGACATTATAAGGCAAAGATGGTTGTAATTTAACAAAGAGTCAACTGACTTAAGGTCAAGGTCACTAGGTCAAAGGTTAAGGTCAAATTCAGTTTATTTTCACTGGGGAACATTTTGTTATGACACTTTGAAGCAAAGTTGGTCAGAATTAAACAAAGAGTCAATTGACCAAAGGTCAAGGTCACTGGGTCAAAGGTCAAGGTCGAATTGTGTATCTTTTCCCTGATGAACATTTTGTTTTTACATTATAAAGCAAAGATGGTTGGAATTTAACAAAGAGTCAGTTGACCAAAGGTCAATGTAACTTGGTCAAAGGTCGAGGTCGAATTTTGTATCTTTTCCCTGATGAACATTCTGTTATGAAATTATGAAGCAAAGTTGGTTGGAATTTATCAAGGAGTCAACTGACTTAAGGTCGAGGTCACTTGGTCAAAGGTGAAGGTAAAGGTCACTTGGTCAAAGGTGAAGGTAACATTTTCTATCTTTTCACTAATGAACATTCTGTTATGAAATTATGAAGCAAATTTAGTCAGAATTACACAAGGAGTCAATTGATCAAAGGTCAAGGTCACTTGGTCAATTTCAAGGTCAGATATTGTATCTTTTTACTGATGAACATTTTTTGTTTGTTATTATGAAGCAAAGTTGTCAGAACTTAACACGGAGTCAACTGACCAAAGGTTAAGGTTACAAGTTCCAAAGTTCAAGGTCAATGTTAAGGTCAAGTTTTGTATTTTTCACTGATGAACATTTTGTTATGATATTATGAAGCAAAGTTGGTCGGAATTGAAAAATGAGTCAACTGACCACTGGATTAAAGGTCAAGGTCATTTGGGTCCAAATGTCAAAGACAAAGTGGATCTCTTATTTTGACTCTGGCTCTTGATGGGGGGTATTTAAGGTGAAATAAAACAAATCAAAGCTAACAAATGAGTATTGCACCGGTATTTACATTTCTGTTAGCCAAGCAAATATGGAAGTGGAAGGAAACAAGACTCACATCATACACGTAAAATGTATCTTTTGCTTCCTTGCGATTTTTTTCGAAGTCCAAATGTCAAACGTCAAGCTTAGCTATATGGGCAGATTGCTTCTTGATGATTATGGGGGATATATTGCCACAAGATGGGGCCCTTACTGACCTGTCAGTGTTCTAGTTTCACCTACATTGACCAAACTTGCTAAAGATTTAATGTATCTTGGTAAGTAGGAGGGTCAAATTCTAAATTCGGGTCTTTTGCCCCACTATATAAAGCGATATGGCCCTTTGTTAATTTTTTATAACGGAGTTTTTCTATTGGCTAATAAGGGGAGACATGTTTTTGTTCACAAAAACAAAATTCTCGTTTCCTTTGTCAAGCAAGGAGTGGAAACGACTGGTGTCTGGACTCTAAACCACTGAAAACAACTCACTAAGCCACAGTGTACGGCATGAGTTTTTTTGCAATGGTTTAGTCTTTTACACTCTTTGCTTGACAAAGGAAACTGACGTATATGAAAGCCTGCAAAATAAGTTTTTAATTTGACTGTTTGTGTTAAAATCAAATTTAGCCTTTAATACTCAATAGATATTATTTATGTATCCTAGAGCTATCCAAGAATTTAACACGTGGTTTTCTGAAAGTCACCTTGAATTTCTTTTCGTAGGGTGGACTGACAGAGCTGAATCTTCAGGAACGAAATCTTTTCCTGGGCGGTTTCAAGAACAACAACACCATTCCTGCTGACTCCAATATCCTTCATAATTTCACTGGTGTTATACAACGGGTAGGCTATCTAAATAACAACCTTTGATTTCTGGGGGAAATGTATCAAAATGACCAGTTGGGTGATTTTGATTTGATTGAAATATGAATGTCACTTTAGATTTTAGCCCGAATGGTAAGTGAGCTTATACCGTGGCGCGTCATCCGTCCGTCCGGCGTCAACATTAACAACTTCTTCTCAATAACCAAAAGGCACAGGGTATTGATATTGAGCCTGTAGCATGCTGAAATGAAGAGCTACCAAATTTCTTCAAATGAATGACCTTGACCCACTTTCAAGGTCATAGGGGTAAAATATCTTAAAATCTTCAAACAACTTCTTCTCAATAATCAAAATGCCCAGGGTACTGATATTGGGTCTGTTGCATGCTAGGATGAAGGACTACCAAGTTTGTTCAAATGAATGACCTTGACTTATATTCAAGGTCACAAGGGTTGAATATGTTAAAAACCTTTAAAAGAACTTCTTTTGAATAACCAATAGGCCTAGGGTAATGATGTTTGTCTAGTAGCATGCTGGGATGAAGGGCTACAATGTTTGTTCAAATGAATTACCTTTATCATTTTTCAAGGTCACAGGGGTCAAATATGTTTTAAACCTTTAAACAACTTCTTCTGAATAACCAAGAAGCCTAGGATAATGCCAGTAACATGCTGGGATGAAGGACTACCAGGTTTGTTCAAATGAATGACCTTGATATATATTCAAGGTCACAGGGGTCAAATATGTTAAAAACCTTTAAATGTCTTCTTCTTAAAAAGCAAAAGGCCAAGGATGATGCTATTTGGCCATTAACATGCTAGGATGAAGGACTACCAACGGAATGACCTTCGTCCATATTCAAGTTCACAGTGCTCAATATATGTTTAAATATTTAAATAATTTGTTTTGTATAACCAAAATAATGTCCAGGGTAATGATATTTTGCCAGAAGCATGCTGGGTTGGAAGACTATAAACTCTGTTCAACCTAATGTCCTTGTTCGACATTCAAGGTCACAGGCGTCATATGTTTAAATCTTATGAATCAAACACTGATATTCTGCCTGTAGCTGTTTTTTAGTCCACTTTTAAGATTACAAGTGTGAGATTAAAACCAGGTGAGTGATGCAGGCCTATTGGGCCTCTTGTTATAATTACCATTTGAAAACAGTAAGATTATTATGTAACATATTTTCTTAGCATAGTTGTTCTTAGTTGTGCTTTTACAATCAAGTGACTATCAAAGTTTTTGGAAAGCAGTTTAGTTTTCAGGTCATCTGGATAAAAGGTTCAGGGGGACCTATTATTATACCCCCTGCAACGAAGTTAGGGTGTATCCTGGAATCAGCTTGTCTGTCCATCTATCTGTCCGTAGACAAAGTTTGTCCTGACAATTGTTCTATAGTAATGGACCAATTTTAAAGAAAGTTTCCAGATATGATAACTACTAAACTTCTTTGCCCTGACTACTCTTCTAAGACGATTTCATCAAAACTGGTTCCTCATGGCTAACAAGATTTGGTGATGATAAAAACTTGATACAGTGATACAGTGGCCAAGATATGCTCCAGACAACTGCATTACATTATATTTTAGTGCTTTAGGTCAAGGTCATAAATCAAACAGATGACACTGACCTAATTTTAATATGTGGCACACTGACCTAATTTTAATATGTGGCACACTGACCTAATTTTAATATGTGGCACACTGCGTTCTTGTACTTTTCTACAAAGTTTGATACCCATTCATGACATAGTGGAAGAAATATAATTTGGAAACATGTACGCATTTCACTGTATGTTAGTACTAGAGGTTAAGGTCACAGTGACCTCATTTTAGAGTGTTACCTGTTACCATCCTACCGAGGTGGACCTATATAGATGAGACCTTCCCATACACATTGTTACATCACGGGAGGATGGTCACTGGTAACTATCTTAAATGAGGGATTTGGCATCACACTTTGTATGTAGGTACATTATGACGATGGAATGTGCATCCCAAATGAGGTCACTATAAACTGTATGTAACCTTTGACCTTGAACTCAAGTACTAAAATACAACAGAATGCAGGTTTCCAAAACATAACCTCAGCCATAATTACATAAATGTGCATCACACTTTGCATACATTACAAGTACATCATGGGAAGGCTTTGTGTGACATGCTACAATGAGGTTATAGTCACTTCTACTCGACCTTTCACCTTTCACTGGAGAACTAAAAGTTTAAAAAAGGTTTCAGAAGCTTATGTTGGATACCAGTTCATTAATGGACTTAAGACTTGGTGATACGGTACTTCATAGTGAAGTGATATGAAGACCATACCCCTATCCTGGTGGCCTGACAGTCAGAGATCATACCCCTATCCTAGTGGCCCAAAAGTCGGATATCATACCCCTATCCTGGTGGCCCGACAGTCGGAGACCATACCCTTATCCTGGTGGCCGAACAGTCGGAGACCATACCCCTATCCTGGTGGCCCGACAGTCGGAAACCATACCCCTATCCTGGTGGGCAGACAGTCGGGGACAATACCCATATCATGGTGGCCCAACAGCCAGAGACCATACCCCTATTCTGGTGGCCCGACAGTCAGAGACCATACCCCTTTCTTGGTGGCCCGACAGTCGGAGACCATACCCCTATCCTGGTGGCCCGACAGTGG